TTTTTTTTTGGGGCGAATTCTTCGATTTTTTTTTTTTTTTTTCTTCCTCTTCACCTTTTTTTTTTTTTTCGGGACGAGGTGGGGGTTTTTTTTTGCAAAGGGTTTTATCGTTTTTATTGATGAGGAGCTGGGGAGGTGAAAGAATTTTGGGGGAGGTCCCATAAAAACCCCCCCAAATTTTTTTTGGGGTGAATTTCTGGGGAAAAAAAAATAAAAAAAAATCCCTCCCTCACCCCCAAATTATTCCCCCGGAATTTTGGGGTCTCCTTTGCCGCCAGCGGGGCTCGAGCTCCGGTCTGGGGGCGCCTGTGGGGAAGAAAAAGGGGTGAACACCCCAAAAAAACGTCAATTTTGGGGGAATTTTGGGGGGAATTTTGGGGGAAATTTGGGGAATTTTGGGGTCTCCCCGCTCACCTCCCCCCGTCCGTCGGGGTTTTGGGGTTCTGCCGCCATTTCGGGGGGCTCGGACCCCTCCATGTCTTCATCCTCCTCTTCCTCCCGGAGCCGCCCCAAATTTGGGGTTTGGGGGTCCCGGCGCCCCCCGGGGTGGGCGTGGCCACGGCCGCGCACCTGGCCCAGGTGTGGGAGCCCCGAAATCGGGGAATTTCCGCCCGAAATCGAGGAATTCGCACCCAAAAGTGGGGATTTTCCACCCAAAATTGGGGAGTTTCCGCCCGAAATCGAGGAATTCGCACCCAAAAGTGGGGAATTTGCACCCAAAATTTGGGAGTTTCCACCCAAATTTGGGGGGTTTCCGCATAAATTTGGGGAATTTCCGCCTAAATTTGGGGGGTTTCCGCCCAAAATTGAGGAATTCGCACCCAAAACTGGGGGGTTTCCACCCAAAATTGGGGAATTTCCATCCAAAATTGAGGAATTTGCACCCAAAATTGGAGAATCTCCAGCCAAAATTGAGGAATTTGCACCCAAAATTGGGGAATTTCCATCCAAAATTGGGGAATTTCCACCCAAAATTGAGGAATTTCCACCCAAATTTGAGGAATTTTCACCCAAAATTGAGGA